TCTGATCTGCTGTATTGTACTCAATACTCATACAATACTGCCAAAGAATGAGACTATAAATAACAAAGCTCAATGAGAAACTGTACGATACACATTTGTGAGATGGTTCCGTATAGCTGAAAAAAACTTTCAAATTGAATTTGACGGGGTCGCGGTTTGGGCAGCGGCGTACTATTACGATAGTTGATATTATCAAATCAGTGACATCCTTTTTTATGCTGTAAAAACGCAATGCAACTAAATATTTTGTACCGGTAGTAATAATATACCTAGTGACGTCACTCAATTATTGACTATTTTATCACCCTGAAAATAACTTAAAACAAACTTTACTAAGGCTCAGTTGCACCACCACCCAACTTTTAACGATAACTATGACGACGAGTTTGACATATTTTTGACGTTTATCAAAGTTAAAGTAGATTCCGTGGAGGGTAGTTGAACGGGAAGCATGGTCGATCTGTTTTAATGGTTTCAATTTATTATTTAATGGACTTTAGTGTACAAATTTGGTGTTATTTTGTGTTCTAAAGTGCAGTGAAGTGATAAATTATAAAAAACATTGAAATACTTCGAATTTGAGCGCGCATCGATTGTCGAGTGGGTTGTCGTATGAACAACCCGCTTTGGACCCGGTGGCGTCTCGAAACCTGCTTACGGGCATACTTAACTCCACGGAATCCATGAAAAATCAATAGAACTGAAACACCACGTTCTATTGATAACTATGTCAATTATTTTTCACTCGACATTGGCAGAAATAAACCTCCCAGAGAGGTTTGGTTGCCACTAAAAAAATAAAAAAAATAAAAGTTAAAGTAAGATGGTGCAACCCAGCCTTAATGAACTACCTAATTGGATTTTAGGGCTGAAATGCACAATATCTTCAAACAAAACACTATGTTGTATAGTAGGTGCAATAATGATACTACTTGAAAATTCATAAGAGAAAGAATAGCTTGCATTTACTGTCAAAGCTTATGCCAACATCATGTAGAGTCATCAATAAGATCTCTATTACAACAGTCTCTATCTCATCTTTTAACTAAACTTACTGCAAGTATTTCCTACCTACTAGAACAGTTCATCATAACTCTATTAAATATCTAGTTATGTCCAGTTTGCTGACTAGGAACAGTGACAGTCGGACTGCCCTACGTCATGGTTATGTCATGACGAGCGTATAGGAAGTCGTTGCGGTTATGGCAATCCATTACGTTAACGTATGAGACAGTTAACTATGTATTTGTTTCTCTGTTATCATTTTCATGAAAACCATGCAAGAAGACACATTTATTCAACTCTAGAAATGCCTTTAAGAGTAATCTAGTCCAGGCAAGAGAGGACTCTGTCAGACAGGAAGTTTTGGATTCAATTCCAAAGTAGGACATTTTGTTACGTACCTTTTTAATCAACCTGACTGAAAAGCAAAATAATCTCATATTTCAGAGAGCACATAAATATACTACCTATTAAAGTTTTCAAAGACACGCTTCCAATGGGCTAAGGAGTAGGCACCTAAACCTATAATACAGGCCAATCTATATCTTCTATATAAATATCTTCTATCTTCTATATAAAATAAAAAATGAATTGCTGTTCGTTAGTCTGATTAAAACTCGAGAACGGCTGGGCCGACTGAGCTGATTTTGGTTTTAAAATGTTTGTCGTAGTCCAGGGTAGGTCTAAACGGTGAGCAAATAAGGAAAAATTGCGATGGCTTATTTATTGCCTTTAAGGCGGAACAGAGTTCGCCGGGTCAGCTAGTTATAAATAGATCATAGTGTACTTAGGGTCAAACAAAATGAAACCCGCAATATCGTCCAAAACCTTGACCTTTAAAATCACAAGGAAGATTCAATGAATAGCAAAGGTTAAAGCCCCACCTGTACGAACAGCCCTCCTAGATAAGTGGCAAAACATAACATGTCGAAATGCCTTAGGTCCAGCGTTTTTTGTATGGAGTTACATCGCTCGTGAACGGATTCGATTTTCGATTCGATCAAAAAGTGCCGCTTGTCTAGACCTACTATACGGCTAGCATGAAAAACTTTCTAGTTCGAATCCTTTACGTATTCGAATCGCCATCAAAAGATTTAGTACGAAACTACAACAGCGCCCTTGTGAACGTGTCGTAAAATGAACTTAGTATGAGAAATGGTTGCACGAAACTTATTTTGAGAATCAAAATTGTCACGTTATCGTTTAATTCGAAGGAATTTTGTCGTATACGCAAACGATTCGAAGACAAAAGTTGTTCATGCTAGAGATACTGAACCCTAAATAAGGCTGGCAGCACACCAGCGCAGGTGACTAACGAGCGGTAAGGTCACGCGCGCACAATTTCAGGACGCCACAAAGTTGTACCATAACGAACTGATACCAATTTGGCGGCGAATAAACGCTTTTACGTGGGGCTGTTTAGTTGCGACGTACAGTCGGACGAATGAACATGGAACTATGTAGATTATACATTATCAGCAGTCTAACGCCCGTATTCACAAACATTACAATGAGGTCTCACAGTGCACGTGGACGCACGGGGTGACACATGAACCAATCACAGAGCTCTATTCAACGCCGTGCGTTCGATTTGATGCTTCCATTAAGCAAGTATCGTTTGTGAATGCGGGCGTAAGGCTGAGTTCACGATAACCGGTGTGTTTTGTATGGAATGTGATAGATTTCTGACGTTTGTCAAAGTTAAAGTAAGATGGTGCAACCCAGCCGAAGACGTTTTAGTATGTTTCTCTTGGACTGAAAGATACGCTCTGTAATGAAAATGTGACGTCACACACTTATTTTCTACAATTTTGTATTCACTGAAATCTAACGTTTTTTATTGATCCTTACTAACAGATTATCATACAAAAATTTAACTAGAAAATGAGACTGTTTAACAATTCACTGAACGAAACGTACAAAATGCAAAGCCTTTTTTTGTGGAGAGCTGTGTGCTTACCATGAGTTTACGTTAGGTGTGCTCGCTAGCGACTGCGTAAAAAAATGACATTTAAATGTATGACATATTGTGCAGCGCCCCTAGCGGCTACTTTCAAGAAATAAAATCTTCATAGAGTTTTTTGACGTTCTCGCTAGCGAGCACACCTAACGTAAACTCATGGTAAGCACACTGTATCCGCCTCTACAAATGACGTGAACAACGCCTCAACGTGACCACGAGTACTCTGCCAAGAGCGAAACGAATAAGAAGATACTTTTGTAGACGACTGTACGATATCGGTATAAGTTTTATTCGTTATTTAGTTGGGCGGCTTCTTGCAACTTCCGATAGATGTTATTTAATAAGGAACATAACTTTGGCCGATGTGTATAAGATGGCCGTCTTTACTTAAGCAAGGTCAGCGTTATAAGATGAATCGAGAAAGGAATGTTGAAAAGATCGTGAATACTCGCATGCAATAAAACCGACTTGGTTGATTATAATAACATTATTATTCTATCTAAACTAATATATGAGGGTAGATATTTTGTTTGTATCTAGATCATTTGTTAATCCTTCGCGCTATGACTACAGGACGGATTCAAATTATTTTACAATTTAATTTTTCTTTTATAAGAGGTACAATCTTTATGACGAAGTATATCTGAATGTACTCATGTATAAATTATATTGTAGCCTATATGATATGCGCCTAGTTGTTTACTTCTGGCAAAACAAAATTGACGCAGCGCCTCATATTAAACTAGCAGCAATCGCCATTGCAAAGTGACATTTATTGATCTTAACAAACTCTAGTAGTCGATGAGCATTTTATTACTAACAAAAGAAAAAATCCGCCATAAACAGCATTGCTTTTGGGAAAAGTTTTCTGTTGAGGTAGGTTCTTTATGGGAACTTTTGTAGCCCATTTGTGTCAATGCTTTTTGTAAATCAGACTTTTCACTTTACATTTTATCCATCGTATATTGTCGTATAGCAATCATCACAAAACGCTCTACAGTAGCGCAGCAGGATAGTAATTGTATGATTGCCTTTAAATCTGAGTTTAAATCATCGTTGAACGTACTCCGTTCATTTGTTAGCCGGCCAGATAAAGTTGATAAATGCGAATATGAATGTGCAATTTAATGCAAAAAATACTGCAACTGCGGATGTTGAAAATGTATCAATTTGTTTACAGAGATATTTTGACTATAGGTATTAATATTAAAATTATTAAGAATTATGTAGGGACTCAGTATCGAACGTCAAAAGTTCCTTCCCGTACTTGTAATACAAGTAAAGATGCTTCTTAAACTATATATATATAGAGTTATTATTATGTTTAAATAATATGTAGGCAAACGTCCTTGCCGTCAGCCAATCACTATGTTCAATAAACTAAAGGCAATTCATGTTTCAAGTGACACATTTCTATAGCACTCATTCTAGACCTAACTCAGTAGCTTCCGCATTAATTTGCGTCATCCCACACGCTTAATTCTATGTCAGGCATTCGACAGGAGCAGTTAAGCAATAGTTTTGGAGCTCCCGGAGGAAACCATTCATATTGACAAATGTTTCCTCCCACCCCGCGTCACCTACCTTCGCACAATCGCCCGCCTCTCCAACGAGCCACATCTCTTTCACCCCACACAACAATGAGCCAGACAGAATACATCTCAAACTTATATCGGCGGAAAGTTGTCGAATTTGGGACCTAAATATCCTTGGTTACGCGCCGACAATAGCAATTACCGGTGAATTATTTTTTCCTGCCGTTACGGATGTTCACAAAGCTGTATTTTATATACATATATCCTCACAACACAATCCTATTTTTTCAGGAAATTCCACGAGCAAATTCATCCTATTCTGCAAAGTAAAAAATCACCGACCCACGCTATAGCGTACCTTGACCGTGTGCTAATAACGTCTGACTTCGTACCCACTGTTTCATGTAATGACAGACATTGGTCTAATGGGATAAACGGCTACTTATCGCAAGGTTGTGACGCTGCGCGCGACCCGCCCGGATCCACTCCGAGCACGGCACCGCGCGAGCACACACTACGCCCGCCCAATTGCCTATAATGATACCACTCGACCGTATATCCGTCCGATCCACTCCTAAGACAATAGAACCCAGTCAGCCCCCGACTTGCGACATCGCAGGACTGCCCAGCCGCATCGTGGGAACCGCGAAGTGATCCCGAGTGCTGTGATGAAGTGCCCGCGACGAGCCTCAATAACGAAACTATTATGACGGTTAAAGAGGCCTCAATGGACCTTTTGAGAACGTCTCCCACAGTCTCAAACTTAAACAACGATGATTGATTGACATCGGTGCTCACAATTCGGACATAATGAACGGAATCAGCGCGGCCACGGATAAACCGGCGACGGCGGTGGAAGCCCCCGTAAAAAATGAACCGAAAGACAAGAAATCCGGCGTCCGGGAGAAGCTTATGCAGATCAAGTCAAACATTACGGTGGAGCCGATCATCGCGTGTTACATCATGTCGAATGTGTTCTCGGGACTTGCTGTGCAAAATTTAAATTTGGAGAAAGCGTGTCGAGTCAATTTAGGGTACAGTGATGAGGTTTGCTCGGCTTTGAACAAGCGGCAGACCGAAAACTATACGTTGGAGGAGGCGGAAGTGCAGAAGTTGACGGCATCAGTACAAGCGTGGAAAAACATTGTTCAGACTGCGTTCCCGTGTATACTGGTTCTATTTGTGGGCTCGTGGAGTGACAAAACCGGAAAAAGGAAAGCGTGCATACTCCTACCTATAGTCGGGGAAGTGTTGTGCTGCACTAGCTTCATCTTAAACACATATTTCTTCTACGAATTGCCTCTGGAGGTCACGGCCCTTTCAGACTTGTTTCCGTCATTAACTGGAGGATGGATAACTGTGTGCGTTGGTGTATTCAGCTACATAGGTGACGTAACGACGAAAGAAATGAGGACATTCAGAGTAGGAGTTGCCAACTTGTGCATGTCCCTGGGCATCCCGATTGGGATGTCTCTGAGCGGGATACTTCTGCAGCAGATCGGATATTATGGGATATTTTTAATATCGAACTGCCTGTACGTCGCCAGTCTGATTTATGGGTACATACGTCTGAAAGATCCAGTGATATCGGAAGAGCGGCAAAGAGTAAGTTGTTAATTCTGTGTGATTGCTTTAGATAGCCCTATCAGTGCCCAAACTTTGTGTGTAAGGTTGCCGTTGCGTGTAATAGAGATTAAGCGGTTTGCCCGCGAAAGGTCGCGAAGTTTGCGTGTAGCAATTTGCGATCAAAGTCTAGGGTTAATAGAGTATTGGTAGGTGTTGAGATAAGGCTCGTGGTGCCATGCATCATCCGCTGCGTACTCTCGACAGCCGGTTAGTCCTATATCTAAGTGATAAATTGCTCAGGCCCACAACGCATATTCGAACGGAGGGGGACATCGTAACGCAATCAACGATTTTACGCGAGGCTCCGATAGGTGTCACCTCGGATTTATATGCGCCCGATTTACCCGGATATCCTGATATCCCCTGTCGCTGTCGCTATTCTTTATTTAAGCAAATTATTCCAGATTTTACTCTTGACGTTTCGGATTTTGTTGGTGAAACTCACACGTACGAATGGCTGTAATAAAATGCCAAATGAGTGTTGCTTTTCTGTACGTGGAAATCCCGAGTAAAATAACTATTTTACCGTTTTAGGATTATTTTTGCGGAGCGTGCCATAAATGTTTATGTAGTAGGAAGTCGTAAATTATTACGAACGCCGCTTTATTCATGTGTTTTATGAACTCTATTAATCTAATTGTACTTGATATTTTTTGTATTTAATTCGTTGGTTCTTGATTACTTTCACTCGAATGGTGCAGATTTGATCTATGATAGAGTGAAGATAATTATTTACCTACTCGTGGCACAGATTAATTTATAGCTACAACAGATATAATTATTTATAATTTGTAGATTTGCTCTGAAAAATGGTGGTGTAAATAACACGTAAATAAATAACGGGACAGACAGTTTTCTTAGAAACTTCTATTGTACCAGGTACTAGGTTAGACGAATAAGAGTGGAAATATAAATTTTGATCACTTCGCAATTTATATTGATATTGGCAATAATATTATAGTGACATTCGTTGCTACACGTAAAAATCAAAAGTTAGTGAAAAACAATTGATAAACTATAGTGAACTTTTGTTTTTAATTGCGTTAATTTCCAGTTCATATGTGTTTTAACTTTTGGTGTGCGCAAAGTTGATCGGTATTTGTAAATACCACGTCAAGGTATTAAAAACAATCTTTTAGGAAAAGTAGGTAATGTATCAGGAATTTTTATACTGTTTGTGATTTATCAGCATCTTAGTATTCCTTATTCCTTGCCCTTTTTTCGAATAAACAAGGTCGAAATACTGTGAGATCCTGTCATGCTTTTTACCCGACTGCGCCAGAAGGAGAGTTATGTTTGTCTATGACTGTAGCTAATCACCAATAACCCAACCGCTATTACTATGACTCTACATGCATCACCTGTCAATTTTATTAAACTTCAAACATACTTTCAGGACCAGCCGGTCGGCTGCCGAGGGTGGGTGTGTTCGTTCTTCGACGCGCGTCACGTGCGCGAGACCCTCACAGTGGCCTTCAGGAGTGGTCCACGACGACGACGGCTCCGAGTGTCGCTGCTCATCGTCGTGGTCTGTGTTATATTCGGGCCTTTGCATGGTACGTAAAAAATGACTATTCCCACCTCTTGTTCCCACCACTGCAACTCCTGTGTAGCCAGGATCTACAGCTTGACCGCCATAAAAACCCAACCAATGAAATTCAAGTTTGTCCCGGGGGAAAGTTAAACTGTCATTGGACCCGCAACGAAATTAATCAGAAGAACATAGGAGGAGTTCGAAATTAAGGTTTGACTTCCCTCCATTTAAGCTTTATATGTAGCCACATATGTAGACACTCCGCGGTGGGCTACGGGTGTAGCCCGAGGCTGCGCCAGCTCCGAGTGTCACTGCTCATCGTCGTGGTCTGTGTTATATTCGGGCCTTTACGTGGTAAATAGTGTAGTGTCTTACTAACACAAACATGAGCTTCCTCGTTGTGTATAAAAAAAACCTGTAGCTTAAGCTACCAGCTTTATATGTGTAGCCACATAAACACTCACGGTGGCCTTCAGAAGTGGCCCAATACGGCGTTGTCTCCGAATGTCTCTGCTCATCGTCGTGGTCTATGTTATATTTGGACCTTTACATAAACAAAGATAGAGCTACAGCTACAAGCTCTATAAGTAGCCACATAAACTCTGGCGGTGGCCTTCAGAAGTGGCCCAATACGGCATGTCGTCTCCGAGTGTCTCTTGTCATCGTCGTGGTCTGCGTCATATTTGGGCCTTTTTACATGGTAAGTATTGTCCTAACACCAGCGAATCTGCAGCTCGAGCTATACAAGCTTTATAAGAGACCACATAAACTCTGACGGTAGCTTTCATGAGAGATGAGCTTTTATAAAAGCTACAGTATTTATTACAGTATTAATTACTACAATATTTATATTTACCTACCACAGGGGACCCTTATGTTAGCTTTTAGGAATGGGCCGAGCTGGCTAGTGAACTTTACATGGTAAGAACAGCGATGAGCTACACTTTAAGCTTTAAAGATTAGTTTTAATTTTAGGATCTTTTATCTGTCTGTAGTAAATATTGGTAGATAGTAATTTTTACTAGTACTTTTCCAGGAAGTTGATATTAACACCCTGTTATTGCTGACCAGTTTGAATATTTTCAAACAACAACACAGTCAGTCCACGTCACGACAATACGTACGTCCTCTTTGAACCAGCTCAGTTCCGCTGCAGTCGCGGGGTCATTCGTCAGTAACAACACGTGACGTCTGCTGCTATTGTGATTGTGTACCACTTCATTGCGTGTAGTGATGGATGGATCAAATGTGCACGCACTGACCATTTGCGCGCACGTTGCATCGCCGTTTGCCGATCTTCCACGCCTAATACAAACTTATGTCGTAATGTCTATCTCTCTAGAGATTCCCATAACTCTCTTATGGCAAACTGGGATGAATGAATATCTATTTTTTTGCAAAAAGATGACCATTGGAAAAAGTAAAAATGCGATTTATAATTGAGTGACCCAAAAGGTCCTCCTTGCCTTGAGGTGGTAAAAATTCGAGAACAGTGACGATGACAACGAATTCAACTCCTTGGTTGTTGATCTCCCGCTGTGTTCTTTTGGTTCGTAGATGGAACGACGGAGTTCCATCTTTTATCTTTGCCAACACATATCTATAGGCTAGAACTAATTTATTACGGCCCGATTCGACCAAACTTTTTCCGAGAATAACTCCTGGTATAACTGGCACTTATATAATTACTGGCGTTTAAATATGGGAAATATTTCAAAATGTCGAATAACTGACGATTTATTCTGAGATTAATATTTACTCTTGTTTGGTCGAATCGACCCTAATTCTATTTATTTATCCCGTTGTTAATTTGCAGGTGAAATGAACGTGCTGTACCTGTTCATGAGATACAGGTTCAACTGGGACGAGGTTCAATTCAGCATGTTTTGCACTTACAGTATCATCACTAATTTAGTTGGTAAGTTTATTGTGAGGTGAATTTCTACTCGTAGATTTATCTCTATAAAGGATTTCATTTTGTTTGCATTATTAAACTGTGTCATCATAATTGTTTTATAATTTAGCCCTACGTTAATAAAACTGTGTAAATATACAAGTCTTAGCGGGTGTTATTTCTAAGACAAGTTTTAGCTTCAATAATGGAATAGTAGTCTGTATTTTACCAATGCTAATGTCAGATCTCAAAGTTCAAAGGTCAACTTACAAGGTGGACCTACAGCCTTGTAAAGGTAGGAAGTAGGAAGGCGCTGGATGCAGGGCCGCTACCAACCGGTCAAGCTGGAAATCATCGGGGGAGGGCTAAATGTTCAGCAGTGTGACGTCCATTATATTGATGATGATTTAAAAATGTACGTTTTGTATTTATTTCTGCCCAGGTACATTGTTCTCAATAAGCATATTCAGCGACTTCATGAAGCTGGACGACACGGTGGTAGGCATCATCTCGTGCACCAGCAAGATCCTGGCGTCCTTCATATTCGCCTTCGCCACCACCACTTTAGAAATTTATATTGGTAAGAGTAGAAGAAGAATAATAATTCAGTAAAAATTTTAGACAAACAGATTGGGTAGACTAAAGTGTAGATGAAACATACCTACATATCAACCCGGAAACGGATCGTAACCGTATCAACTCGAAGCGATCAATATGCTTTGTATTAAACTCCGTACTGCAACGTAAACGCTTCGCCTCGCGGTTGACAACGCGCGAAAGGCGATGACAGCGCGCGAAGGCAATATAGTTCCAAAACACTGGACTGTCCTTTCCATGACATTAACAGTAGGGCACCACCGTCAATACCGGATCGCTGGTTCCGATTTTTTCCATGTTGGAAACCGTATAGTTGAACGATGGTAGCGCCCCCCTGTCATTGAGTTTGGTGGGACAGTTCAGCGTGGGTCATCTACGTCGTCTATACGGTGTTGATCCCTCCCCGGTTTGATAAGTCTGCTATGACCTTAAATTGTGATATTAATTACAAAAGTGTTTAAAAAAGTTAGGTAAGTACTTTCTGATTGTTGGAATTGAAATAATATTTGTTCGTTCAACAGCCCCATTGGTGGAGATTTTCAATGGAACGTCTTTCATTGCAATGCGCTCCATTGCCTCGAAATTGGTCACTAGTGAAGAATTGGGTTAGTTTATTTTAAATATTACATAACATAATAATATACATAACATATCAAATTAAGAGAGAGTGAAGCTAGAAGTTGAATAACAACTGATAATAATTCAATCAAAATTTAACTTGCAGGGAACATCAATTACTGAATCTTTAGAGAATACTTAAAATCTTTTTTCCTTCTTCTTGTCGTGTCGACAACAAACCAACACAGCGTCGGCCAAAAACTCCGCCACAAGAATGGCGTTGTCAGTAGCCTTCATTAAATCTTCCTGCGTGCAGTTGTTTGGGCACGTAGGGCACGACATCATGTGCTTGGTCTTTTTTTAAACAAAAATATCTCAGATCCTTTACTTTCTTCCTCCAATAACACACAAAAATCCAGGAGTAAAACCAACCTTGTTTTTCAGGTAAAGTGAACTCCCTATTCGGTCTGGCCGAAGCCATGATGCCCCTGGTCTACGGGCCCCTATACTCCAGGGTCTACATGGCCACCCTGAGCGTCCTGCCTGGCGCGGTGTTCCTGCTAGGAGCCGCCATGACTGTCCCTGCCGTGGCCATATTTGGGTAAGTTTCGTTTATTTATTTAAATAAAACTAAATCATATTAAGAAGAAATATAAAATAAATAATAAATCACAAAACTGTTTCTTAATTCTCTTAGAAAAGATGAAAAAACGTACATTTAAAGGACATCATTTAAACTCAATCAAATATAATCATTCAGCTAATCTCGAAGCAGTTCCTCGACCCAACAATAGATGGCAATGTCTCTACATTGCATCACAATGTCAAATAATGTGAAATAAATTAAAATAGTTTTGCCGATTAGGTAATTTCGTTTAACAAATGAGACACTTCAACTTGTTTTGCTGGTCGATTTAGGCACAAAAACGAACAAAAACAGTATAATCTGCCTCAACATGATGTTTTCGCAAACGGACGGAAAGACTGCAGACTATTTTAACCTGGTTACGCGACCACGGCATAAACGCCTAACTCAATTTGAGGAACATTGCAAGACGGAAAGTAGTCATTAACTTTTTTACAGTTAACACAATAATGGCCGCCCGAGGACTTAAGAAAACATTCCTGGAACTCGCGCAGAGGCATAAATATGCAGTTTAAAAGTATTATCCTATCTTGGTTAATTATGCAACGTTTAATTGAAGTACTAAAAGTTGAATAAGTATATTCGGAATCACGAGTAACTACAATCAATGCACTTATTTTCGATATAAGTAGTTTTTTTTACGTTGTAATTTCGTTTCGTTTGTTGTAAAAGAGTTTAAAGACATTAATACTACAATTAATATTAATATTAGTAGTATTTACCACATTCTACAAATAAATAATTTTCATTTTCATTAGTAATCGTCATCGCTGCAAGATTTTCTTACAACAAAAGATAGCTTGTCTTTTTTCATGGTCATCTACATATAAGAAAATTCATCAATATTTAATTTTAAAAACTCAGTTGTGAAAACGAGACAAGCAGACAGACAGTTATAGATATAGATTAGGTAGGTAGGTACTAAGGAATTCGAAATACCAATGAATACTCGTACAATGTGTCATTCAACAATAACCCTATATAACCGTAAAAGATTATCCATAATAAATACACATTGAAATCAAACACCCTGTGTCAGACATATCATTACCGCAGTAATTACTATTTAATTATCTCACGTATATTATAATTGTCATAACTTACTTGTGTTATGAGAGTAAACATCGCCTAGAATATCAGTAACAATATCCCATGTCAATACAGTTTTATTATATCAGCTAACGTTCTTCATAACATTTACAGAGGTTAAGACAAAACACCGCTGGTAAATAATGATACTACTTATTACTAGTAATTGTTTATTTAAAATCAGGGTTAATTGGAAGCAGTTAAAAGTTTAATAAGCCCGGTATTTACTTATTACTATTGCACAAAAAAAAGTGGACCGTCGACCTCATAAAGGTAGCAGGAAGGCGCTGGATGCAGGTCGCTACCAATCGGTCATTATGGAAACCATTGGGGGAGGCCTATGTTAGGCAATGGACGTCCTATGGCTGAAATGTTGATGATTATGATGATGATTGTACTCTCTCTACCTTTATTGTACTCTGTCCAATACAAATAGACACCCCTGTGGTATATAAACGGTAAGAACCCTTAGAAAACCTTTCAAAACGAAATCATAGCACTTCAAGAAACTATTTTTTTTGGTTAGCAATCTACGTAAGGTACAGTAAGTGAGACTTGAAGCTAAACATAGAATCCTTATTAGAGTTATAATAAGTCTAGTACTGTTTTGCAACTAAGTAAAATGGATAGCCTGACGATTATAAATTGATATCAATCAAGCAAACACGTGGATCACTATCTACTACACTACAATCTAGTTCTACAGGTAAATCATCTAACTACCTATCTTGATTAATAATAATTATTAATGCGAAACTCTATTTCCATTTTGATGAATTTCCACAAGTCATGAAGGGATCAAAAAGGCAATTTTTTGTATGAGGATCATATCATTAAAAAGCATATTGTTTTAAACTTTCATGGTCACTATCATAATTATTATTACTGACGGGATTATTGTTACTCCGTGACCATGGCTGGCGCTCGCAACAGTGCCCAAATATCGGAAACTCAAAATTAAGGTACATGGTAGCAATCCCGTCAGTAATAATAATTATTAAAAAGCATATTTCAATATTAAACATCGCTTATTAATAACAGCATATCTAGGCATAAAATCACGCCTTATTATATCTTTTCATAAGTAAATTAAATTTGAATTTATCTAAAGTCTATTGTAGTATTGCGTAGTCTTGACTGTACAATAGGTACATTCCTTTCGAATAACTGTAAATGCTTACTCACTTTTATGATGGTGTAAATGAACAACACCCGTATTCACAAACGATGCTTGTTTAAGTGAAGCAGCAACGCTATTCGAAGTCGAACGCACAGCGTTGAATAGAGCTCTATTGATTGGTTCGTGTGTGTCCACGCGTACTGTTAAACCTCGTAGTAATGTTTGTGAACGGGTGTAAGTGTCATCGTACTTACCTAAGTGCTTAATATATCATCGACATTCCTAATGTTACTCATGATAATGTTATCAAAATTTTACCCAATGACTTGTTAATAAAACGTTATAGTGCGTAGTTATTTTTGGATTAATAAGGATAATCATGAACATACCTAGACAAAACCAAATTCTTAAACATATGTTTAAATCTAATTATGTACTTATGACTAGGTCTTAGGTAAAACAAAGTCACGTTTGTCTTTTCCAGTTGGGCTCAAAAACTGCGGAAGAGATTTTCATGATTTTCACCAAAAAATAGAGCAATTCGTGAGGAAGGTTTAGGTAGTAACAAGTAACAAAATTTAGGATAGTTTTTATCCCGGTTATAAAAGGAGGTACACGCGCGAATAGTATATGACAGACCATTGTTGAATCACGCGGTTCAAGCCGCAGGATAAAGCTAGTATCACTATTAATGTGGAGTTTCAGTTTTTTATTCTTCTATTGTTTCAGGATTTTTCGTTTTAAGTACAGTCGCCAATAGATAAACCTTAAAAATGACCAATTGCTTTTTTTGCGTTATTTAGTTAGCATAAAGTTCGAATTCAATTGAGCATATTATGTGAGCAGTTGACTACAGCGAACTGAATTAAATTAATTTAAAGTTGACGTAACATGTTTTTGTAGGACTACCAAAATATCAATTCAATTTTCAATATTATTATAATTGAATGGGCATGTTTTTAAAACACACAAGTAAAAACTAACTTTGGTGCTCGCATAATTTTAATTCTTTGAAATGTCAAAATATTTATAGCTAGCTGATGAACGTGACTTTCGCCCTTATTCATAAACTATGATTGCTTAAGTGAAGCGGCAAATCAAACGCACAGCGTTGAATAGGGCTCTGTGATTGGTTCGTGTGTCACCCTGTGCGTCCACCCGCACTGTGAGACTTGATAGTTAATATTAGTGAATACGGGCGTTTGTCTGTTAAAAAAAATATTTCTGCCGCTGATTTTTACGGTCGTGGGTTCAATTACACCTGAAACAATTATAGATTCTTAGATATTAAAAAAAATGTTGTCTCTAAAAATTAATACTTTCAATTATTTAATATACAGTGNGCAAACGTTGTGATAGGGATAGAGACATGCGGTTTTTGGTTTTACGAAGGTAATACGATAGAAAATAATACAAAGTGATAAAAACTACCGGTTATAGGGGCATTTTTTGGAGAAATTTATCAAATAACCAAAAAAACACGAATTTTTAAGCAGATTTTTTTCAAAAAGTATCATTTTTTATTATTTGTTGGCCTTTTTTGTGTATTTTATGTATTTTTTTTGTATCGCCTGTTATTTAGCATTATTACTGTTTTTATTTTATCAGGATATACCGCTTAGTTTAAAAGTTATGACGTTTTCTTTACAATAAGTAATTGGAAGAAAAAAAAATCTATAAAAAATTTAAAAAAAATCTCAAAAAAAAATTGACCTCTTTTTTGTCGATAAAAATAGGTCTGGTTTCATCTTTTTTCATATGTACACTTTAACGTGACTCACACTGTATAACAGAAACAAAACCAGATCAAAATATAACATTTAATAATTCTTATTACGATTCAAAGAGTATTGTTACAGAAATTGTCATTGCTTTGTTTGAAGTCAAGTAAGTAGTTATCTCTTTGTACACAGATTACAAGAGCCCTATATGCTCAATGATTAGGAGAGCGTAAGCTATCTCCATTAGAAAAACTGTTTTATTACTATTGCCTGTATTGCCTGTATAATTGCCTATATTTATACTTAAATCCACCATAATATACTAGGTATTCCTAGTGTTTATTTATTTATATGTCTATTTAAATATTCATACACATCCCATGTTAATGTAACATTTACTTACATTCCTGCAAGTGTAATAATTGTATGTTGTTCCTGAAATAAATGGAAAATGCTTTCGTATTTTTAAATCTCAGTATTTTATAATAAAACACTCGTTACCAATTCTCTCCTGCTTCTTTAATATTCTCGTAGGTACATCAATAACATTTTAATTAATAAAACAAAGCTTCCCAATAGACCTTCTTAAAAGAAAAACGTTGATTAAGATTTAATTTAACTACAAAACAAACCCCTCGAGAGGAAAATCTGGGAATAATTAAACAACAATAGATGAAAGTACATTAAATGCTTAAATAAAATACGAAAATCTCACGGATTTTTAATGCAAGAAAGAACCTAAGCTACTTCGATTAATACATTTATAAGGAATCAGATGTATCGCCGAAGATTTTATTGTTTCCTGCTTCTATTTTCTTTTGGATCTACAGAATCCGCCATTACAATACAACTAAGAATACACCATAGTTATTAGTTTACTCTATGAATATATCAACTCAAGATTAGTATACCACGAGATACATCTTGTTACAAACAAAGTAATTAGCAAATAGGACCCATTTACAATGTATATAGATCCGCCAGCTTAGAAGAAGTGTCTCGTAAATCGCAAATAATTATCGACACTGTAATATGACCTAACAAATAATTGAAATAAGGTGCACATTAGGTCGAAATGTACATAATAGTCGCAGTATGATCTGTAAATGATGTCCTTTATTATGTAACCGGCAGTGGACCGAGTCGTACGCACGCCAACTCGCGTTATTACTGCTCTCGCATTAGTGGATCCTTAACCGGGCCGTCCGGTCGCATCTCTGTGGCGGCCGATCCACCCACAATTCCTTTTCCCAGATCATTTGTGTTTATTCAACATTCCAGATGGATGTACTTCGAACAAAGAGAGGACAACAAGCAAGTGGAAGAAATGGAAAACGTGAATAAAGAAGTCTAAATCGCTACCAATTGACTGTTGTACGAGCATTTATTTATCAGTGAATGTGTCAGTGAACAATGCATAATAAGTGTTTTGGGCATGTGTGGAAATTGTAATAAAAGTTATTGAGTAGTCGTTTGTTTTTATACTTAAGATTATAGCCATAATATTGTGACATCAGATATGATCGGATATCGGTAGAGTTGTTTGAATTGTGCGGTGAGTTTATTTTCGATTTCTGCGAGTGTTTGTGGACGCATTAAAGACTGATATGGCAACACGAGAGTGTTTGCTTACATAAAGCCACAATAGCCCGCTAGCTGCGGCCCGTCGGTGCAGCACTCATTCAATATCAGATCGTCTATTTATCTTGCTGTGTGGATGTGCTAGAGCTATATCAACAATGTGACGGTATATTTACAAGGAATTTACTCGGACTGCTAATAGAATAAGGCGTAATTCCCCATCCAATATTTTTCCACGTTGAACAAACAAAATTAGTTGCTATCCGCTTCAGCAAACACGAGACAGTCCGCCATGGATAAGTCAGGAAAATCGGAAACAGTTGTGTCTCAAGACACGACTGAGGAACTCCCTTTGAAGTCGGAAGCCAAAGAAGTTCAGAACATGTCATTTATGGAGAAGCTGAGGTTTGTGAAATCGAACGTAACGGTGGAGCCGGTGCTGGCATTGTTCGTGATGCCAAGCGTGCTGGCGATGCTGGCGACGCAAAACTTGAACTTGGACAAAGCGTGTCGTGTCAATCTAGGTTTCGGGGATGCAGTTTGCAACGACTTGCGGCTCCGAAAACGAGCGAACCATACTTTTGAGGAGGACGAAGTGCAAAAACTGATTGCGTCCGTGCAAGCTTGGAAAAGCGTCGTTCACACAGCGGTACCTACATTGCTGATGTTCTTCATTGGAGCATGGAGCGACAAAACTGGCCGGCGGAAGATTTGTATGCTAATGCCTATCTTCGGGGAGTTCATGACGTGCATGCTCAACATGCTAAACACGTACTTCTTCTATGAAGTCCCGGTGGAGTTAACAGTCTTTATGGAGGTGATATTCCCTTCTCTCACGGGCGGCTGGTACACTATGTTCCTGGGTACATTCAGCTACCTAGGGGATATAACGTCAAAAGAGACTAGAACATTCCGGATGGGTATCTTGAATTTGTGCATGACAGTTGGATTCCCTATTGGGATGGGTCTGAGTGGGGTGCTTCTCAAAGTATTGGGTTACTACGGAGTGTTTTCTATATCTGCATTCTTCCAATTTTTGAACTTTTGCTATGTGTTTTTCATGATTGAGGATCACACTTGGCTCGAGAATAAAGAAAAGGTGCGTAGCATTAACTCTTACGATATTATGTGAATATGTGAAAATATTATTGTTGTGCTAACTGTATCTATTTTTAGGTGAAGCGGACGGGTTTTACCGGTTTCTTTATTGAGTTCTTCGACTTCCAAAGTCTAAAGCAAACTTTCGAGATAGCGTTCAAGAGAGGCCCAAACAACAGGCGGCTGCGGATATGCCTCATACTGACTGTCGTGTGCCTCACTTTTGGACCCATGTGGGGTATGTATTATTTGATGATTATCTATAAAAGCGAAAGGACTGACTCACTCATCACGAAATCTCAAAAACTATAACACCTACAAACTTTAAAGGCAGATAGGTTCCTATATGGTGCCTTTATCTTATCCTTATCCACTAATAACAGTTTTTACGAAACTTTATAAAACGGGGTCTAGTCTATGCGTACGAAATCGCGGGCGGACGCTAGTTTTCTATAATAACTTTTAATAGGGTAATACAACATGCGTTATCGGTTGTGAAAGCAAATAGAAGACACTTGAAATGTATTTAAACAGTTAAATGTATAGAAGAGTCACCCATGCAAATAAAATTATGATACCATATAGGCCCATTACCAATACAAATTCCAATCTCTCATCATTCATTATTCAGCTGTCACTTGATGTCATTGTTTTTATTTAGTACAAAGATAAATAAATGTTTTCTTTAGTCAATAATTATTCCTAAATTACAAACGCTATAAACAACGCCCTAAGTCCAAATGTGACGTATTCCTCTAGTAAATAAGTCACGAACCTCTGGACACACGTCAACAGTTTGCGTTTAATATTCAAGATTCGATCTTTGATCAAGGTACAGTCGCCCGCAAATTCAACAAAACAAAATCGCACCTGTGAGAACTACACAAGGTGTTTGGATTAGTGTCCGGTTGACCGTACCATAAAAGAGTCGTCTAAAAATATGCAAACTCATGATTTTATCACATAATACCTGCTGCTAATATTATTAGATTCTGTGACGTCAATAGGACATTTGTAATGCACATTGTTATTGTGACATTAGGATTGTTAATTGATAGTTAGTACATCTCTGTATGTGCATGTCAGATTATAGTTAATCAGTATTTTTATTAAGAGGTTTACACACACACATTAATTGTGTAATTCATATGTCATAGATACAGTGGATTTCGTAAAATGGCACCTATCGCATCTAAGGCGTCAGTATACCCTGTGCTGTTGTCTGTACACTGGCATTTTCAACTCACATCTTCCAAAACTCACTCTTGATACGAAAAATACCTACAGTTAATTGACGAAATTTTATAGCACGGTCAGCGTCAAATAGTTCGTGACACCCAAAGTTGCCTTTGCAACGTCTTTGCTACAATTGGAATAAGGTTGTATTGTCAAAATTGGTCACTTTGGGTGTCACGAAATACTTGACGCTGACTGAACTAAATAAGAGCGCTTTCACATTTAGGTGACTTTAGCAGCTAGTCTAAGATCCCGCTATACAAGGACCTTCACCGAGATGCTTATTTGATGAAACATATTTTATATTCAATTTTACATGTCAATAATTATATTGCTTAAGGGTTGCCTAATAAATTTCAGTCCAGGATATGATTAATTAATCATTAAAAAAAGTTTTATTTTTAAATATTTCATCGGTTTGATTATTAAACAAACTCCATACCAATCGAAAGTATGAAGCCCATAGAATATGCAAACGTTAGGTTGCCTATTCTTTTCCAGTCATAACTCTCGGGTTGCCAGGTATAAACAGGTAAATTGATAGAGCATTTTGCATCGGTCTGATAATTTAATCAAATATAAATGAAAATAAAGATTATTTCATTATGAACACGGTGGTATAGGGTTGCCTGCGAAAAATCAGTCCTGAATGACGGTTGTCGAATTTTGTAAAGTGAAATTAAAACTGAAAGGTGACATTTTTCGAGTAGTTGGCAACATTTGGGAAAGACGAGTNTATCCTGGACTGAAATTTATTAGGCAACCCTTAAGCAATATAAATATTGACATGTTAAATTGAATATAAAATATGTTTCATCAAATAAGCATCTCGGTGAAGGTCGTTGTATAGCGGGATCTTATACTAAGCGTGACAAACGCGCGACTGACACGCTACCGATAATTTCATACTACATACTCGTATAATAATATGACAGCGGTTGCCTGCCTTCACATTATAAAAAAATGCCGCTGTCGCGTTGCTGTCGCGCTGCTGTCGCGCTGCTGTCGCGCTGCTGTCGCGCTGCTGTCGCGCTTCTGTCGCCCTAATGTGAAAACGGTCTAACTTTTTGCTTTCCATTGTCCAGTGTTTGTGGCGCACTTATGACATAATATCGCCATCGGGTATTTCTACAAGTGGAATAATATTGACTGGCATCGAAGTGTCAATAAATTGTGCAAACAAGAGAACAGCTGATAAATACTATGTCTGCTGGTCCAATTATTAGGTTTTGAATCGAATGGACCAAGCAAATACGCGATTTTTTCAAATTTCCAGAACTAAAATCATCATCAAGTCATTTTTAGTCTCCACTAAAGGAGGTCGACCCTTTCTAAATACCGTGTAAAAGGGAGGATTTCTCTAAGATTGAAATGTCCACACTCAGATATTCCACTAGGTATTTGTAAAACTTGTGGCCTATACATAAAACTAGAAAGATAGAAGCTAATACAACTCACATTTTATAACTTTCTATTATAATATTAGCATAAGCAGATCCATTAATTAACTACGTCGGTAAAACCCACTTAAAAACAATACTAGGAATTGCCGTTTCTAAAATGTTAAACAAACATTAAAAATAACCAAAAAAAGTTTAAGGAAAACAAGCTGCTTTTTGTTAATGCGGTCGCGGTTGTGAATATCATAAAAAACTTTCTACAAAAACGAATAGAAGGTTAAAGTTCCTATAAACTCAAATTTCATTAATTTAATGACTACTAATGTAAACTTTTGCCCGTGAAATATAATACTTATTGTTATAAATTATAGCTCATTTTTTATTCTGATGTATAAACAATATTACTGCAAAGTTTCATCAAAATCCGTTTAGTACTTTTTGCGAAATAGTAACAAACATTCATCAATCCGCACAAACTTTCCAATTCATGATAATAGCAGGAAATAAATAACCTCAGCAATAGAAAACACAAACAATCAAATAAACAACGTTTGTATGTACTATCTTTTGTCATTTGTTTTGTTTAATTCATAGATAATTTAAGGATAATGATTAACAATATTGTATCAAGACCGATCTAATCCTATAGTACCTGTAGATATAGCGATGAACATTAAACTCATAAAGTCTAACGCCACTTAATTCAAGTACAAATTATTAAACGATATATTGACAAAGATTTCAATTTAATTTTTACTAAAACCACAACAACAAACTACTCGTACGTAATTGTCATATTGGCCTACATACACTAGTTGTATGATACAAAGTTGTGTGTAGCTGTAGGTATTTTATAATGTTGCGTATGTGTTAGATAAATTCGATTTTTTATTTGACTTTTAATTAATAACTATTCGGCATGTGTTTTTGTAACGTGACGTCAAAAGTGGGCATTTCCATACAGTATTAGAGAAACATCGTTTTAACAAGTTAATAGAATGTCAATCATTTAAATAGTCAATATCACATCTACGCGTACCTACATCAACATTCGATTAAATAGCTTCACGTACATATAAGTTAAGTATGTTACAAGTAAACGAGACGTGAAAAATGCAGTTTTCACATAAGCAAAACATTTTTTTCAAGGCCGGCAATAATATTTTCACATGCCAGACACGATGTTTATAAATTAAGACCGGAATGCAGCGTGCATAATGATTACAATCTCACACACGGGAATCAATACAAACCAAATGACGTCGGTTACTGGTTACTGAATAAAGACCTCTAAGGATTTCCACACTATGACCGATTCTGCTCAGTCCGCATCCAAGTTTTTCCCGCGATCTTCGGTTCACTAGATCTTTGGTCCACCAAGTGGGAGGCCTGTCTGTCTAGGTACACTACCCTACGTTTTTCGGTCCGTAGGCGCCACTTGAGAAGTTTTCTGCTCCAACGGTTATCATGGCTACGAGCTATGTAATAAATAAGTACCATGTCACATAGTAAAGTTTTTTCTTACTTAAATGTGGCCGTGCATAGAACTAAAGTTTTATACCACACAATAATAATAACGTTTTACTTTACAAAATGAATTAATCCTGCCACCTGCTAGGTACTAGAATAAGGATTCTGAGGAAAAGAACTAAAACCCAAAATCCAGAATGTTAATGAAACTTTTGTCAGAGCGAATACCACGTAGGCGAAGCCGTGGGCAGAAGGTAGTAAGTCAAGTTTTCACAAATATCTACATCAGGCATCGATATCCCATCCACACTTTACAAAATGGCCGACCCCCGACTGGGACGGAGGGCGAGACACTATATCAAAACTGCGTCACAAACGATGAATTAACACATAATCTTTTCTTAAAAGATTTATTTGGGTGCTGCGTCGTAATAATGACAAACTGCAGCGATGTTAGACAATAACCGAAGGGAAACTGGAATCGATGTGACTGTAAATAATGAAAAAATAACATAAATTATAAAAGGGGCCTATACTGCGAATGTCTTATGTGTTTTGGTGTTGGTGTCCCTTTATCAATAAATAAATAAATATAGGAGTCACAGTAACAAAATAGTTTAAAACTTTGGTAGGCTTGGCTAGTGTTAATTGTTTATTAGCTTTGGTCAATTGATTCCGTATAAAAAAGCCTAACTTGTTATAAATATATGTATTTATAACAAGTTAGGCTTTTTTATAAGCTATGGCTTATGTGCTATTCTACTCTATGTAAACTATCCAGTACTTAGTGTAACTTTTTCATGAAGACCTAACAGACATACACCCAACGTCAACACTTCCGTTTATAATATTCATTTATTCGTAAGTCTAAGTGAATCCACTCAATCCCCTACGTACAGTTGCTCTGTATTGGCTAAATTCGCTTTTTGAATATCAATGAATGAAAATGGACACCTCAACGTTTTGCATATCGCCCATTTGCGACGACACTGTGACATCTCGACATATACGATTNCCACTGTTTTTGATATATCACAGTGTCGTCGCAAATGGACGATATAGTCCAATGAACAACAGGAATACGATGTCACTGCGATTTATTGGTTCGTTTGCATCAAATTGCTAGCACAAGGATCTGTCTAAGGCTGAAGGATTGGACACAACTACAGGTCCAAGAAAACTCTAATAAGTGTGATTTGGTGAATAGGCTAGTAAAAGAAAAAAAAATTAAGTCAAGGGGCATCGAAAAATATTGATGCATTGAATTGCGTAGGTGTTTATTAGTGATGGGCCGACTATGGTCTTTGCCGACTAACCGACTAGCCGACTAATCGGTTTTCAAATTGCCGATTAGTCGGCCGACTAATCGGCAATGCCGATCATTCTAATACCTACTTGTCCGAAGAATAATATCTAGATTTCTCAAAGATAACTATAACCTGTAACTTTTTGAGAAATAAGATTTCTTTAATATGAGAAAAAATACACATAACAGTACCCAAGTTAGATGTCATAATTTTCTACGGTGGAGGGGTCAGGGGAGGTGACAATATGATCGCCTCCTGCTGGGCTAGTATGCACGCTGTGATATTCTTATCGACGTCAAAATGTATGGGAAAAAATGATTGAAAATGGCGTGATAACCGCTTATTGCGGCGCGCATCCTAGGCCCACTGATTCCTCTCCATCCTCCACGATGATGGTTAGCGAGCTGAGGGCGTGGGGGTACCCCCCCGCCTGCATTGCACGGACTACCACTCTACCACCACTGTCGGATAGGCAGGGCCCGCTATACAGGTGGGCAATTGCCGGGACGGACTGTGATAGTTGATGGCTTTGCCCGGATTCCCATAGTTCTTCACACTAAGGCCATTCACGGAGCTCAGGGGATATTTATATGGGTATTCCTCATCCTAGGAGAAGGAGAAGCCCCACATAATCTACCACTTGCCCGCAGGGTACCTATGCAATTTCATGCATTTTTTCCCCGAAAAAAAAAGGGTCATAATTTTTATAAGGACAAATTGCATAAAATTTAAGTACACATTTGTGATGATTTCCTGGGATTTTTAACTAATCTTAACTTTGTATGAATTTAGACTGACTGCCAAAATTTTTAATCAGGTGAAACCACTTTTGACTGATTTTTGCAGTCAAAAATGGTTTAGATAAACGCCCTTGGTCTACCTCATTTATTATCTTGGTGATTATGAGTGTTATTTCATTCACATATGAAATTTTGTAATGCGCCGATTATAATCGGCATATTTTGCCGAATAGTCGACACTAGTCGGCCGACTACAAATGATGCCGAATAGTCGGCTTTCCCGACTAGTCGGCGACTAGTCGGCCCATCTCTAGTGTTTATCTTTCTCATCATAGGCCAGAAAATTCTTACATTGTTCTATTGAATATCTTGATCTTGATCTGACCGCTCTACTGAATGAATTCCACTATGAACAAGAGCTCTTGTATGGCTTTTAAAAGCCTATTTACAAAAAAAATGAGTTCAATTTAAGATTAACTGAAAAAGTATTTTCACGGGTGCGATATTTCCGACATATTAAAAAACATCCTTATCCTTTTGTTGACGTCGATTAAAAACAAACACTACAAATTATTAGACGTATGTATCGATTAAAATGAATAAAAAATCATCTTTGTATACCAACATGGAGCAATAAAGAATTTGTATTTGACTTTACAAAATGGTTATTGCAAATCCATATCGATCAACGACCTGTAAACCGGCAAACTTTTACGTTTTGTTGATTCATCCTAGTATTTGTTCGAACTGTTACAACAGAAATGATTGGCAGTTGTAATTTTTCAGCTATTGCTCGTCCATTCATACATTGGTTTTGATATTCGTCGAATCTGCAAATAAACTCTAGGCTTCGTTTGAGCTTTTTTATAAAAGCTATTTAGTGAATTCACTATCTCAAATGGCAGATAAACGACGTTTTGTAGTGAACTGCGTATTAGAATAGCGAAAAAATATTTTCAGTAAAAACTTGTTTTATTTCAGTGAAGCAACAATTATTTATATTGTACTTTATTTCGATTTAATAAACTTGCAACTTTTTCGAACTACGAATTTGATTTGAAATTAATAGGTAGCTAATCATTCGCACAGTTATCTCTGTACCTAGAGCCTTGGAACCTACTAGTGAACGCCATATCATTCCGGAGTCAGCGATTTGACACCTCTTAAATTATATTTCAATTGCCTGGTGGTGTCTGATTTGATAAACTATAAAGATGCTTTTTTCAGGTGAGCTAAGTGTAATGTACCTGTTTGCCCGGTACCAATTCAACTGGGATGAAGTCAAGTACAGCATTTACTCCACGTTCAGTCTTATTACACATTCCGTAGGTATGTATAAAGTTAGTATGACCAGTTTTTTATATACATGTTTTTTAAAAGGCTTGGCCTGGCTAAAAGAACTAGAGTTTACCTAAAGATCTGTATTCCTCCAAATAATGTAACGTATACATATGAAATTCGATTCTCCTACCTGTACTGATTGGTACGTATTTGCAAAATCGAATTTCAGGCTTTCTACAAGATCTGAAATAGTCCTTCGGAAGGGACTCCATTAACTCCATTGACTTACCTTAGAAAAAAAATATGAGTGTGGAGTGGAAACCTAGAAAAAAACGTAACCTATGTTTAGACATATCATAATGTATTTTGAAAAAATATAATTAAATGTACATAGTCATACACAAGATACTGAAAAGGTGGTCACCACTCAGCATGTGTCGTAACATCTTAGGAACGCCATTACGCTGGTCTTAAGTTAATTTTGACCATTAAATACCTTTCAGAATTAAATCTGCACACAATTTATTACCTGACCAGCTTACCTTCTCTTCAAAATGTATTTTCATATTTTCAGGTACACTGTTCTCAATAAGTGTGTTCAGCAGAAAACTAAAAGCAGACGACGCGGTTTTGGGTATGATATCGACGACCAGCAAAATCTTTGGAGCTATAGTACTAGCTTTCGCCAGAAATGACTACGAAGTTTATATGTGTAAGTATTTCTCTAATAGAATAGTATATTTTTCTAGTTTGGTTCTAAGGTCTGTGTTCTGAAGTGACACTTAATAATCAAGAAGATCTCTATGATTCAATAAGTCAATGGTCCAAAAGTAATTAAATTATGAATTCGCAATTAATTAAAACCTACTCTCAATGATTAGTTTTGATTTTTCGTGACTAGACATAAAGTATATTTTTATTATTATTGATTGTCATTTCAGAATGCGACGAGATGAAAAATTAATATCTGAAATCTAGACATACTCGTAACTATAATTATGTACAATTTGTTTTATTTTTTCTTTTTATATTTTTCCTATTTATTTATTTTATTTCTATTTTCAGCTCCCCTAGTAGAAATACTCAACGGGACGACAGCCATAGCCCTGCGGTCGATCGCTTCCAAACTGGTGTCATACCAAGAACTAGGTAAGTCCTAAGGCCCCTCGCCGACTTTTTGTAGCGATACAGTAGCGTTTCTGTCGCGCGTTCGCATCGATACAGTCGCAATGCGATCGCTAGATGTGTGCCCTCACCCACATAAACGCGCTTTTGTCGCGATGCAAACGCGACTCGTAACTCTCCCTCCGTTTTTTCCCCGATGGCGACAACATCGCTACTAACGCGCGTTAGTCGCATTTGTAACGCACTAAAAAAGCGATGCCAACGCGCTACTAACGCGCTACAGCAGCGCGACTGCATCGCTACAAAAAGTCGCCGTAGGCGATAACCCTAAGTGCGCTCACAACAATAGTTCACTAACTAATATTTAGACTAGTCAGAAGGTGAACATAACATAAAAAACTTAAAGACAAAACTTGTCTATCTCACCTGTAGCAAATTGAATATGCTTTTTTTGGTTCAAAGTAGTCATGTCACTAGGACGCATAGTTTCCGAGGATTAAGCGAAAAACGAAAAGTGGCACCTTTAAACCCCCGTCTCCCCGCCGGCTCAAGGGCTAAGGGCGGGGACTTTTGCTATGTTCACCACCTAACTAGGCTAAATAAAGTCCCGAGGTCAGAAATTGTGTTCCACGGATTTCTCTCTACACCGTCGTTAAGACATTCATTGACTGGACTACTCTCTAACTATCGCGATATTAGATTCGATAGGACCGATAGCTTTAAATTGAACTGCAATGTCACCTTGTCTGAGCTGAAGTACCTACTGTCTGGCTCCGGTAAAGTCGACTACAATAGAACCTTGCAAAGCAAATTAAATTGACACCGGAATTCTTGGAATATAATTAGGTTTCCAATAGGTCTATCAATTGATTTATAGAATAGTACACAGAGATATTAAAGTGAAATGCCTACTAATCGTGATACTTCAAATAAGATTTATCACTACGTTAAGTAATCAATTTAAGCAAAATTTTAATTCTTTGCAATGAGTTTTGTAATAAACTCCTAGCCACAAAATTAGATTTACCACGACCTATCTTTAGAATTCTATGATGTTTTTTTTTCTTTAAACCTTATTTTTTATCAATTTAATATAATGATAGCGCCTAGACTAGAAAGATATTTATTTTAGTATAATTGAAGTTAATACACAAGGCCTGTACAGGACCGCATTCTACCCACCGCTTGAGGCCTAAAGTCACTTAATTAGTGACATAATATTAGGGCATGTAATATCGGAAGGTTTTCAATTCCGATATTGGATTCCGATATTAGATCTCAATATCGGAATTTAAGTACTATGTCTATCTCGGTAGGTAGGTAGTTAGATGCAATTTCGAGAAAGAGGTAAATCGTCGAATACGAAGACGAAAGTCTTCAATTAGTGTGTGTTACCAGTGATGATATACGGCTCGAAAACGTGGCCTTTGAATATAGGGCACAACGTGCTATGGAGAGGGATAAGCTTGGTGTTTCTTTACGAGATCTAATCAGAAATGAGGAGCTCCGTAAACTAACTAAGGTCGCTGATATAGCCCGACGGATTAGCAAGCTGAAGTGGCAATGGGCAGGGCACATAGTACGCAGAACTGTCGGTCCATGAAAGTAAAATTAATGTTTGAAAGGGAGTTGAGATGTCGTTCTTTGTTGACCAAGTACCTATGGCAAATGCTAAAATTGATTTAGAACAAGTTAAATTAACCATAAATAGTAAAGTTAATAAAATATTTGCAGTGGAACAAAAAGTGATGGTGAGAGACATGAGAAAATCATTGGTATTTGCCAATCATGTACTTTGGGCTTTGTGGCAGGTTGTGGAGAGTTTAAACGCTTTGTTTAAAATCTCAATTAAAACATTTATCTGATTCCGATATTACGATATTGGGTCGCTCAATATCGGAATTGAAATATCGGATCTCGCAGTCCGAGATTCCGATATTACGAGATTCCGAGATTCCGATATTCATGCCCTACATAATATGGTTGGCAAGCAAACTTTGAAGTCCTCGTTACTACGGATTCTTAGATAGTTAAGTTCCCCGGGTGTACCTCACCTTTACAGGTCAAGTTTAATAAGCGGTCAACTTGTGGAATTTGGGCACAGGGTTTTTGGGACTAAAGTCTGAAAGTTTCTAGGTAGGCTAGTAAACAGGCTGTCTCTTATCTCTTTAGAATAGAATAGAATAGAATGTATCTCATCTCTCTAAACCCTGTTGTACGAGTAACAGTTAACCGTTCATAAAAGTTAGTCTATGATTTAGATTTTTGTGTACGATAGTATAGCCTTTGTCCAGAAGTCGACTTCGTTAAGCTGAAACGAACGAACGAACAAAATTATCTAAACATCCGGTTTGTCTATTGTTACCACTCGTACATCTAACAATTTAGTAATAACATGTTTTCAATGATTTCATAACACTAATTTCAAAACATGGGATCAATGACTACGTCTCTTATTTGTATGCTGATCGGTAGACTGTGAAAAAAGCGTATGCTTTGCGTTATGAAAATGGCCAGCTGATAAAAGGGGAGAATGTTACTTTGTACTTCCTTGGGACAGATTATGTCCAGCCCCCCTAGACAAGTGGCAAAACGTGACAGTTGTAATGCCGAAAGGCCTTAGTTCCGTCGTTTTTTGTACGGTGTTACATCGCTCCGTAAAAGAATTCGATTTTCGATTCGATCCAAAAAGCCTACAGCAGTGAACTGCCGTGGGCTTCATCATTCTTCTTCTTATTTGTTACGCTCTTGGCAGAGCGGTCGTGGTCACGTTGAGGCGTTGTTCACATCGGTTGTAGAGGCGGATACAACTCTCCGCACGATCTCCCGCCATCTCTCTCTATTGGCAGACTGTCTGGTGCAGTCACATACGCCGTCTCCCACTGCTGATTTAACTTCATCATTAACACACCAATATAAATTATGTTGCAGGGAAGGTGTTTTCACTGTTTGGGGTGGCAGAGACCACGATGCCTCTGATATTCGCCCCACTGTACTCGAAGGTGTACCTAGTGACACTTCAAGTGATGCCAGGCGCTGTCTTCCTAATGAGCGTACTAGCAACGATACCTGCTCTTGGGATATTTGGGTAAGACAACACTTGTTTCACTTACGAGTAGTTACATAAAATATGTACGGGACTATTCCCACCTCTCGTTCCCACCGCTGCAACACCTGTGTAGCCAGGATCTACAGCTTGACCGCCATAAAAACCAAACCAATAAAGGTCTCATAGGTACACGAATAATGACAGAACATGTGATTCAATGAAATGTCTGATACAAATAAGTATTTACTATTAATACTACAACCACCAGCAGTTTAACCGATCGATTTGAGTATTCCGTTGAATTTTACAGAGTTCAAATTTTAATAGAACGTGTTTCTCGAAAGTACATTTGCCTGGAAATTTCTCCTAATACAGCAAACTAGGTATGCCGCAGTATTTAACTAATATCCTTTTTATTGCCTCTTTGTTCTAGATGGTTCTACCATGAGCACAAAAAGGACAAGAAAGAGAAGAGACTGGACATACCCACCACTCCGCCCGTGCCTGCCGATCCACCCATAGTAGCCGCCTAAACATAATAAAACATAAAACTAATAAGTTTTAGGCGACTTTAGCAGAGCGCGACAGACGCGCTGCGGATAATTTCATACTATGTGACAGCGGATGCATGCCTTCACATTTTAAAAACGCCGCTGCCGCGCTGCTGTCGCGCTTCTCACGCCCTAGTGTGATACCAGCCTTATAGTTCTGTGGTCTATAAAATGTGATATGAAGTGGGTTGTATTGGAAAAAATAGAATGAAATGTAAATGTTGCAAATATTTGTTAGTTAATAACCAGCCACTTGCAGAAAATTGAAGTAAGCTTAAACCAGTTGAAGTATGTGTTGATCAAAAGGTTAAGTTTAACTTTTTTTAAAACATTCCTGCAAGCCGTACCTAATCGTCGACTGTGGTCGAAAAATACGAAACGAGGAACAATCATTCAAGAAAAGAAAAACTCAATTAGGTTTTTAAAAAACTCTATTATGTTTAAAATAAATTCATCGTATTATCAGACACAAAATAAATGTAAATGTATGTTTAAAATAGAAGAATGTAAAGTATTAGGTATACTTAGTAATAAGTAATAGATTTTTATGTAATATCAAGTTTTTTATATGAAGAATTTTTATGAATTAACCTAAAACAGTCTAAAGGGTTTTTTTTATTAATTCCTACGCACATTATTGCATTACTCTTTTTTATTCTTCCTGGCCAGTTTTCGTTTAGGCTTCGCCAGTCAGTATCACAAAAAGTATCACAATAATGCAACTCTTCGATGTAAGTTATGCTTTTCCTTAGATACATTATACTAGCAGCCCCTAATTTTCACTTATTTGTCCCTAAGCCGCCATATTCTTCTGAAAATGACGTCCATTGCTGGACAAAGGCCTCCCCCAAGGATAAAGGATCATAATTCACACTTAGCACCAAACGCAACTCTTCAATAGCTATGTAGCCGGCCTCACCGTAGCGACATTATACAAGCAAGCTGGCCTGCGTTGTCACAGCAATACAAAGGCTCATAACTGCATTACCCGTCGAAAGCGGCTTACTGCGACACAACTGATGGAAGCCGTAATTTGACGCTTGTGAGTAGGGATGTTTTGGATATGTAGTTTCGGTTATGGATACGGTTACGGATATAGGAATATTATTATACCGGTTTCGGTTACGGTTACGGATATTTTTTTATTTCGGATACCCGAAAGTTTCGGTTACGGTTACGGATATCTGTGCTTTAGAATGCAATTTGCAATAGCTGTCCAACACGGTTCATTCATGACCGCACACTTTACATCGAATAAAAAGTATTAAAAAAATAAAAATTGATACTAGATGGCATTATAAAGGTAAATCAGGCTGTTATGCCTTTACATTTATTTATAATGCTATAAAAAAAACAATTTTTAAACTGCCTACATCCGACTATCCGAAACTTTTGAATCGGTTACGGTTTCGGATATTTTTTTATATCGGATATCCGGAAGTTTCGGTTACGGTTATGGATATCCATAACATCCCTGCTTGTGAGCATAAATGCAGACCTTAGCAAAACTTACTCGTCTGAATGAATCCTTAATCAACCATGAGTAGATTGTTTGTGCAACATCGTAAGTGATAAATAAGGAAAAAGATAATAATTATTATGTAGAGTTTTAATTGAAAAACAAACAAATAAGGTGATGCTTCTTTGTTAATGCTGATATTGATATTCTATTTTTTGTACTGACGATTGTGCTTTCAATAGCACCCATTTAACTAACCATTAGGCAAATAAATTATAAGGCTATTTCTCATCGACACGGTTCTCATCGTCACCTTCGTGGCGAATTTTATTTCTAACTTATTTCAACTTTTTGTAAACAAAAATTGTAGCGCTTGATGTGAAGATTGTATTCTCAGTAAATCAGGCAAATAGTGAGTCTCGTTTGGAAGCTTTAACTTTTTGAATTTTTTGATGCCACGAAAGTGATTCTGTACTTCACAGCAATAATTTTTTCAAACTTTACTACTGTAAATGACTCTTAAGTGTTTATAAAACATATATTTTGTCTTATTTTCATAGATAAATAGTAATAACATAATATAAATAGGTACCTACTTAAATACAAGATAAAATTTTACCGATTACGCCACCTACTAAGGGAGAGTCCGCTAATTTGGACCAGTTTTTTTCAATCCCATTTCACACATAGTTTTGTTTTGTTTTTGCTAATGTCCATGGTATATAATTAAAGAGAAATTATTCAACTTACTATTTCATAAGTATTAATTAACATGATTGTTGTATATTTACCACAAATCAACAAAGTACGAGTTCAGAGCTTCGGTCCAATTTAGCCAACCGGTTCGATAATTTGTACCACAGGGTTACTAAATTGGATTTAAATTGTTTAAATTTTAGAGGTAGAAAATATTGTTCAAGCAAGCGACGGTATGTCTATGGATAATCACAAAAAGTTACGTATTTTTTTCGCGGAGCGACGATCGACCTATCTCACCTCCCCAATGGTCGAAGCGCGACTTACGTTAACCGAATAGAACGCTGTGATTGGTTGCTGGTGTTCGGTTTAACGGCAATCTTGTATTATAACTCAAAATTTTAGGTACCTAAAATCGTGTGACCAACGTATTTCGCTTTCCCAATTCAAAATAATTATAAGAAGATATTTTTTTGACTATTGTGTGGAAAGCAAATTTAATTACGATGATTTTGGTATATGCTGCACACAAATTGAATGAAAATTGTGAATGCAGTAACCAAATGTTTCATTGCAACCGAAGGTGTGACACGATGAGAACGCGAAAAATGACCCCGTTTTTTATCGTTTCATGTGATTTTTTCGTATTATTTTTGCTTCTATTACGATAAAATTTATTTTGTATGTAGCTAAATAGATATTTTATCATCTGATTTCAAAGTTATTGTTCTAACTTATACCGTTTATGAACTATTATTGTGTGACCATCAAATTTGAGTGTAAATGAGAAGTACCCATAAATTCTCAAGTTAACTTTCTTAGCACTCTTAGGCTGGGTTGCACCATCTTACTTTGACTGTAACAAACGTCAAGAATCTGTCAAACTCCATATCACCGGTTATGGTTATAGTTACGATCAAAGTTTGGTGGTGCAAATCAGCCTTAGCCTAAATAATTTAATTGGTTAAATTTTTAAAAATTAAATTAAACCAATCGATTCTTACGTATATGAACAACTCAATGTAGAATTTGAATGCATGTTATATAACATTTTAAACTTTCGCGTTCCATTTCAATATCTAAATATATATATCTCAAAGGTGACTGACTGACTGACTGACTGACGGATTGACTGACAGATTGACTGACTGACATAGTGATCTATCAACGCACAGCCCAAACCACTGGACGGATCGTATCCTTTCTTAGCGGATGACGTAGGCATCCGCTAAGAAAGGATTTTACGAAGCTCCACTCCTAAGGGGGTAAAACGTGATCCACGCGTACGAAGTCACGGGCGCCCGCTAGTTAATACATGTAATTACTATTTTAGTTGCATGCATGTTAGTTTTTGCACTAAGTATGCAGCCTAACTATCCACCTAAAGTGCGTACAAACGAGATATTTTTAACACTGCTCCAATGAAAATGTGAGACACGACAGCCAGGTTTGTCGGCTAAATTAATAACAGTGCCTGCTATTGTTGCGTCGCTGCACGCTCGTGACTTCGTGAGGCGTGCACACTTGCTAACTTAGTTTGGCGTTAGGGATTACTTATTCACCTTTCTCTCGCGTACTTGATGAATTATTTACTATGGAGCGCGAAATAGTATAGAGGCTGTGTTAAAGTGTCTTGGGTCTTCGTGGAAGGATTGTCATTAACATTAGATTTGACCTGTTTTACGAAACGACTTAAACAGTCAATTTAAAACATAGAGTTTCATAGGAATTCAGCCTATCAAAGTCTGTACTTTGATAGGCTGAATTCCTATACTTGGAGGGTGAGTAATTCATGCTAGAATTTTGATTGAGATCAAGATACGAGATACTCAGTACGAGTAAGTACCTACTGACCTCAATCAGTATGTAATAGGCACATGCTCATTCTTAGGACCACCCCCATTCTTCCCGTGTATCTTAAAGGGGACTAAGGGAGAACTATACAAACACCAGGCCCTTCAACCCGTCTTGCAAGCTGAGAGAGAGTTGGTCAAATCCTCCATATTTTGCCTCCAGCTGGAGGGACGGACGTGCAGCAGAGAGACTAACGCCCGTATTCACAAACATTACTATGAGGTCTCACAGTGCGCGTGGACGCACAGGGTGACACACGAACCAATCACAGAGTTCTATTCAACGCTGTACGTTCGAATTGCTGCTTCACTTAAGCAAGCATGGTTTGTGAATACGGGCGATAATGATGATGAAGTAAAAAGGCTAATATTATAGGCATTTTAAAGATAAAATCTCGTCCAACTTTTTATTTATTTTATTTTATTTTATTTTATTTATTTAATAGGACAACCAACAAGACATACACTGGAAGACAATCAATATTTACAACGTATTTAACTTAATCTAAGTGCTGCCTTAATTATATTTATTTATTTATTTATTTATTCTATAACTTTTGTCCTAACTCGTGTGCAGGTCCTCTAAGGCCTGTGCAGCATGAAGGCTCTAATTCAATGCAGGACGCACACTCCTGCGTCGTCGTAAATCTCGCTCGCTGCGAGCGCGTGAAGCGTACCTGCGATATTCCGCCAATTCAGCTAACTTGATCACTTGTGTACACAACAGACGTACAGAGGTATTAATTAAGGTTTTATAACAGCCTAATGCTGTCGTTTTACCAACAATTTGCTATACTAATAATTATGTATGTGTTCTAAACAAACAAATCATCATCATTTTCAGCCATAGGACGTCCACTGCTGAACATAGTCCTCCCCCAATGATTTCCACAATGGCCGGCTATGGCGACCTGCGCGCCTTCCTGCTACCTTTATAAGGTCGTCGGTCCACCTTTCGGGTGGACGTCCTACGTTGCGCTTTCCGGTACGTGGCCTCCACTCCAGAACCTTGCTGCCCCATCGGCCGTCAGTTCTGCGTACTGTTAGCATTTTATTGTGGTGCGGTCTCTATGCCTGCAGATAAACTATGCTTGTGCTAAGAATGGATTAACCACAACATAATAGTCAAGGGGTCAACGGGCATAGATCGAATATGTAGCGTCATCTTGAAGGCTCGAATTGGCTGTCCAATCCCTCGCCCTTCAAGCCTTTCATGATGGCGGTTAAAATTTTATTCAATAAATTATTCATTTTTAGATATTACTTATTACTTATCCAAATCCACA